CCTCCTCCTCCTCCGCCTCCACCCCTCCTCCTATCCTCCTCCCCCTCTTCTCCCTCCTTCTCCTCCTCCTCATCATCCTCCTCCATCCCTCTCCCTTCAATTGACGCACTCCTCCACGTCGCACCGAAAAACTTGTCGCTAGGGCGGGCCAAAATGTTTTGCCTGATATTCCGTCGCAACGTACGGCACCGAAACTGGAAACGCCCACTAATTGCTCAAATGGAGGGCGGCCCGCCCGGTATAACGCCGCGCAAATTAGTGTTCAAAATGCCCTGCTGGTGTACACATGTGAAGGGCAGTTCTTGTTCAAAATGGGGCTGTCGCTTAAGACACCCTCAAAACAGACGGCCTCGACGTCAAACATTGCGCAACAAACACACAGATGGCGAGCTGCTATGTTTTCGAAATAGGTTAATCGCTTAAGACACCCTCAAAACAGACGGCCCCGACGTGTAAGATTGCGCAACAGTCACACGGATGAAGAGGGGGTCCTTTTCAAAATGACGTTCTCGCTTGAGACTTCCTCGATTTCCTCTACAAGGATGGAGGGCGGTGCTGTGTCAAAGCAGGGCTCTCACTGAAGACAGCTTCAGAATGCACGGCCCAACGTGTAGCATTGCAACAGTTGTAAGAACGAACGGCGGCCCATGTTCGATCCCAGCTCTCGCTGCGCACGTCCTTTACCTTTCTACTCCCATCGCTTTCGTCGAGGCAGCTCCCTCCCAGAACGGGGCTCTCTCGCTTGAGCGGCAGGCCCGCGGGGGCGCTCGTCTTCCAAGGCGGCGCGTCCCGCGGTGAGGAGGGGCGCGTGCTGTCTGATGAGGAGGGGGTTGGGGACGAACGAGTGTACAACAGCATTGTTGATGCATCCTGGGTTCTTCGTGGGCAAGGGGCCTTTGCTCACTGGCAAGAGGACTCAACGGGAGCCCTCCTCGCACAAGGCTGGATCCAACCAGTGGTCCGCCGCCCTACCTCCCCCTCCCCCTCCCCCTCTTCTTCCTCCTCCTCCTCCTCCTCCTCATGCTCATCATCATCATCACCATCATCAGCATCATCATCATCATCATCATCATCATCGTCATCATCTTCATCGTCAGCATCGTCACCATTACCATCACCACTAACCCTCCTCCCCCTCCTCATCCTTATCATTGTCATCGTCATCACGGACCCTTATCATTCGAATCATCCTCACCAGCATCATCATCATCATCATCATCATCATCATCATCATCATCATCATCATCATCAGCAGCAGCAGCAGCAGCAGCAGCAGCACCAACATCATCATCCACGTCCTGACTGTCATCATCATCATACCCCCTCCAACCTCAACATTCCCCTCTTCCTAGGCACCACTCGCTCGTAACCGCCTGTTCCTCCTTCCCTTTTCCAAAGTCTCCTTCAAATCACTGTTCATCCTCATCCTTGGTCCCGCCCATCAATCCTCGGCGGGCCCCGGCGCACGTGCGTCGCGGAGGTGCAGCGATGACGCCCACGACGATTGCATCCTTTCCCGTCTGGACTTGGGCACCTTGGCGCAGCGCAGACCGGGAGCAACAGGAGCGCCAGTGTGGGATCTGAAAGGGGGCAAGGGGAAAAACATGGGAAAGGGGAACAAGGATGAGAGCGAGCACTGATTTCGGGAGGCGCCGTCGTGTGGGCAAAGCGCACCGCAAGCGCATCAGGCTCCAGGGAACCTTGGCTTCCCCAGACTCGGAATCGCCATGGCACCAGAAGGTCGCGACGCGAGGAAGTTGTCACACCCATGGTTTCTGTCACCCCTAGGGCACCAAGGTGCCAGGCTGTATTTGTTGCCACATGCACGTCAAAATGCCCACTGGCGCACCTAGTGTCATGAAAAATTCTCGGCACTGTATCGCTTCCGACACCATTACACTGTATATTGTCCCACGCCTACAAGTGACAAGGCATCGTACATGATGGCGCACATTATGTTTTGCGGGTGCCCATATTGAAACAAAATACTGGTGGCGGTACGCCTTTTCTGTATCAGTTGTACATCGTACAAGCGCGTGCCTCTTTCACTTCTCAAATTGGCGCCGTCGTGTTTCTGTGCCTGTCACAAACGCGCCGTGGGCAAGACAGAGAGGCTGCCTCTTCATGCGCGCGGAGGGGTGCGCGCGCGCGAACCTCTGCTGCAGCGGCCCTGCGTTCCTCGATCGAACTTCCGAAGCTTCGCTCAGCGGTTCAACCACCCCCCCCCCCGACCCTGCCCGCCCCGCGCCCGCCCCCGCAGAGGGCGCGACGCCCCTTTCGGGGCAAAGTCGCTGATAGAACGCTAAGAATTGGCCGCGCCCCCTCCCCCGAGCTTCTATAATGTAATAACGGCACAGGGGGTGGCGCACCTGCGCCGACAGAAAAATCTGGTCCGGCGAGCCTGCGACGGCGCCTGCGATGACAGGACAACGCCTGCACCTTCCTGTTTGGCGCGCCGGAAGTGCCCGCGCATTCCCATGGGCGGCGCCTACGCTGACAAAAACCACGCCCGCGGCGTCTGCGCAGACTGCGCGATAGCGGGCAGGTGCACGCGCCCAAAATAATTTGACGCGCCCGCGGCGCCTGCGCCCGGCCGAGCGCAGCGCCCGCGCGACTGAATCGACTGCCCCCGCGGCGCCTGCGCCGACAACTCGATGGCGAGGCGACGCCAGCGCAGTATTGCTTGGCGCGCCGACTCATGCGAAACGGCGCAGCGCCTGCGCTGATGAAGCGACAACGCCTGCGGCGCGCGCGATGCCGCCGCCGTGGCGGGGGCGACGCTTGCGCTTTACTATTTGACGTGCCTGCGGCACCTGCGCCGAATCACGCGCCCTGAGCCCCGGGCACAGGCGGGAATGGAACGGAGCAGTGGTTGGACCGCGCGTCGTCGGACCACGTCGCTGGTCTTGCGTGGAACAGGCAGCAGCCGCGCCCGAAAAGGTCGACCTCGCGCCGGTTCACGCCGGTTCACCAGCGCGCCATCCTAACCTGCCAGGTCGCGGGGCCTGGACAGGGCGTTCCGCTTTGTCTTTGGTTGACATTCGGTATCGGACTATGGACATCAGGATTGACCCAAAATGGCCACGGACGGCATCGCCGTGGAAGCGGAGATGGCGGCGACAGCGGTGCCGGCGATGGCGACGAGGCAACCCTCGCGGTTTGAGCACGAACATCTTCATTGCATCCCGTCACGCTGACCGGATTCCAGTAGGGTATCCCTGGTTCGTCTGGCAAATAAGATGGCGCTGGAAACGCCAATAGTATGCAGTTTGTCGTACATGCTGGGATATGCTGTGATCAGCATTGCAATTAGCTTGGTTCGCTTGTTCAGAAAACTCTCGGTTGGCTGCTGCAGAAGTCCAAACTGCAAGTGCCCATAGTATCTATTGGTCGCTTCCATACGTTTGATAGGAGGGTGTGACAACATAACGCCGGCAACAATTGATCTGAGAATGTCAATCTCAACATTGGAATATAACCGTCTCGTGCTGGATACCCGATCGTTTCACCGAGTCTCGTTCAAACTGGTCGAGGCAAAAATGACAGAATATCTTGGGAGTACGTTGGCGACACGCTTTCGGCTGGCTTCTTCATCGTTCGACACTCTCGCAGTCACTGGACGGTGACTCCTCTCAAAGATAAGAATGCCCACTGCCATTTCTTGCGGCGGGCGACCAATCCACATGCTTCTGCCATTCGGGCCCTTGTTCTGCCGCTCGCCGCCTGCTCCAGACCAGAGCGAACAGGTCAATGCTTGAACTGTTGATCTACAGCCAGGTATCAAGATCGCTCTCTGTGCCGCGCACTGAGATGCAAATCTCGGGGATGGACAGACCCCACTTTAGGAAAACGTGGTTTAGTGAAAACGACCTGAGGCCCAAACCTGGCGGGCGCAAGCCTGGAAAATAACGGCCACGGCGCCCTCTCGAGAACCGAGAACGGACAATTCACTAATCGACGTGTCACTGTTGGGGGTTCTGTCCACCCCCGAAAATCATGTTTGCCAGCGCTGATACTTATTGACGTCGTTGAAACCATCAGCCGGTACCCTTGCGCTGCATCACTCGAACTCATACCGCCGGCTTCCCTGGTCTGCCTGGTAAACGGCAGAACTCGGAGACTGCAGGTGCTCCCACCGTCTGCACCAGCGTGGACAACGATGACATCGTCGGCGACTCTCCGCGAGTCCTCTGACATTAAGTGCGCTATGGTGCGTGTGCAGCACCGATTTTCCTTACCAACACCTGCGCTCGTAAAGGAATATCTGGTAACTCCGTTCTACAGGGTCTTGGTACCCGTGCTGACTTTCCTGCCACTGATCACTGATCTCTGTTGGCTTCCAAATTCTGGGGTCAAACGATGGTTCACTTTAAACACACTGTCAACTGCAATCTGCTTGATTCAATATTTGATACCCCTGCATACGGCATTGACGTAATCCTCCCCTGCCGCCTGACAGACAGCGCATCCGCATCATAATGTTGCTGGGTAAGGATGCAAGGCCCATGGACACCCAAATCGAAGAGGAAGTTGGAAGTCCCATGGCTAAGGGCTGGTCGACATGCAGGGATGCAGGGGCAGCCTTGGAACATAACTCATCCTTGCGATGCGGATTCATTGTACTCGCTCCCTACAATATACCAAGTGTTGCTCCTCTGGTGTACCAAACTCAAGCACTTCTTTGGTACCACAAGTGGCTAGCTCCCCCGCCAGAACAACTGCCCATAACAAGGTAGCACACGTGCGTGTGCCCAACACTGCTGCACGCGTTCCGTCGACGCTTTAGGTGTAGAGCGGGGGATACATCATAACCCTTTGTCGGTCCTGCACCCAATGCTGCGTTGATCGCATTCCTCCAAATCTTCATACTGCGTCACGTGCCCAATATACGGGCACACGCGCTGTCAATGTTGCATCTTCCAGTACTCATGACAATGTTCTTTGGTTGATGTTGGCACGAATGCCCTGCTGAGCAGTTGTTCTTGCAAGTAAACGTGAATAGTGTCTGCGGACTGGACCGCACACTGCTTCGACCCTGCAAAGCTGAAGTCAAACTCTACGCTTCGACATCACACGTCGGCGCATTTGACTTGACACCATTTTTTCCAAATATCCTGTCAAACTCAATACGGGACTTGAGTGTCCATCGATTTGCTGGTCATCATGAAACTGCGTTACTCTGTTGATTGTCACCTTCTACCAATCTCACAGAGGGGAGAATTACGCAGTGCACCTGTGAACGATGCCTCACATCAGACCTTGAACCAAATCGGGAGGGGGAGGGGGAGAAGAAGGGGGAGAGGGGCAAGGGCACTCAAGGAGGATGAGGAGGCCAAAAACAGCACCTCCCCGAACAGCCTGAGAACCCCGCATGATCGGTCTCGCGCGTACTGCCGCCTCGTTGGTGCTCCCCTGGGCCCTCAAAGGAGGCCAGCAACCATCCCACCCTGGTTTGCAGTACCTCTTCAGCCCTCCGCGAATGTTGACCCGGGTCTTTCGTGAAGATACCGAGCTCGTGATTTCGATGCACACGCCGCTGCGCTGATGACGTCCATCTGCTTCCCCGATCCTGCGAAGAGCGTCGCAAAGACGCGCCCCGGATCGGGCTGCCAAAAGAGGGCGCCAGGGAGGCGAACTGCGCAAAGCGTCCTTCCTCGAGTTCCTGTTGAGCGCCCTCACAGATTTTCTGGCAAAGCGTCACTGTCCATTCCAATCCACCAGGCTCCGTGCCGAAAGTAGACTTTGCATGTTCGCGATATTGATACACAGAGTCCAGCATTCCCAGATGATGATAATGGTCGTCGCCATGATGGCGAAAAACATGTACACCGAAAGCGCCTGAACGCCAAGGATAGAACCGACTGTGATGCCACTGCGTCCGCCATCCTGATCTGAATCGGCTCCAGCGATACAATGCCTCCGCATCCGTTCACTGCCATGACGTACTTCACCAAACAATATGCTATGTTCCACTCCCACGGTCGCCAATACACGACCCAACAGTGTAAGCGCAGTATCGTTCCACAAATTCCCACAAGTCAACCCACGTGTGCCGCACGTGTTAACTCAACACCTAAACGGAGGGTCTGGAGACCTTCCGGGACACCTCAGACTTCAGTCCGGCCCTGCGGGGGGCGAGGGCATCGCGACGCCCTCCGCGGCTCCCTCCCCCTGCCCCGATCCCCTCGGCACGCGGTGCGGTCGGAAGAAGCACGAGCGCACCAACCCCAGGCCCCACTCTCAGTCCACGACCTGCCCGCACGCCGCCTCGGAGCGACACGCGGATGCAGGATTGTGCGCCCCGGCGGCGCTGGAAGGGGGGTAGGGTTAAGTCGGGCCTGTCCCCCTACAGGGGGATTTTCGACGAAAAATAAAGAATACCCCAAAAATAATCAAGAAATTATCAAAAAATAGTCTGGGGACTATTTTTTGAATATTTTTGGACCCTCTTGGGGCATGTTGGGGGTATGTTTTGTTTTTCGTCGAGAATCCCCCTGTAGGGGGACACGCCCGACATAAGGGTAGGGGGGCCCCCTCCTGGACGGCCAGCCACCCCCAGAGGTGCTTTCCTGGGCGACGGCGCCCCGGGTGGTCGCCGGGCCCCGCCGACGAGCAGAGCGGCCGAGCAGCCTCATCTGGCTGATCGGCTTGGCCTGGAGGGCCTGGCAGACCCGCCCTCGAAGGGCCCTCCGCGAGGTGCGGCAAAGCGGGGGACGTCCAAGAGGGGGGGTGCAAATCATGACCAGCGGCACGTGCGCGGCCCAGCGGGGGGGCCAGGGACGTAACGAAATGAGAAGAGGCGCCATGAAATCTGGGGAAGTATCATGCCCCCCGCCATGATATCCACCCCCCCTGATCATCACCCCCCTCTTTTCCACCCCCGACCTCCACGAGATGCAGCTCCCGACGCCTGGCCACCACGCCGAGCACTCTCCGGTCTTAACCTTGCCTTACGCCTGGCGCAAGCACCCCGCCAGTTGGCCATCCGAACGCATGCTAGCTGGCCCTCCTGGCAATGCCTGGCCAGCGAGAGAACGATTTCGGTGCAGTGGAATGTGATGAGGGGGACGAGAGCTGTGCAAGTAGACCCGTCATGGCCAGGTCCACCCTGAGCCAGAGATCGGCACCCATCGGTCGGCAGAAGCAGGTAGAAACATGAAGTAGGAAGGCGTTAGATTGGGTGTCCGCCCGCCCCCTTAAGGAGGACGGAAAGGGCGAAGCCACTCGATCATGGAAGTAGGAGGGCGCTTCAAGTAGATTGGAATCTGGGAGCCCAAAGATACCTACTCTCAACGACCGATGGGTACATGCGCCCTCCTGGCCTGGTTGGCCAGGCAAGCATGTTCGCTGCCCCTGCGCCGAGGCCAGGCGTGGTCAGGCTCGGTGTGCGTGCACGGCCCTCGTGGCCTCGTCGCTCGAGTGGCTGCGCGTGGCCGAGCCTCTTGCTCGAGCCGGCTGGCTCCTCGGAGCGTCCCGACGTTGGAGGTGCACTCACCTCCGACATCTGGAGGATCCGGGTCGCCCGACTTCGCACGTGGCGACGCTCGATGCGCGACAGGGGCTCGTGCCTCTTACTCGAGCCGGCTGGCTCCTCGGAGCGTCCCGACGTTGGAGGTGCACTCACCTCCGACATCTGCAGGATCTGGGTCGCCCAACTTCGCACGCGGCGACGCTCGATGCGCGGCAGGGGCTCCTCTTCGCGCCCTCGCGAGGCCCCGCTGGAGAGGCGCGGCTCGTCGGCCCGGGCCGCGGCGCACGAAGCGCACTTTGTCTCCGCGCCCCTGGCGTGGACCCATAAGAGGCGTCGTACGCGCAGCAGGACAGACCAATCCCAGGCCTTCCCATGCCGCCTTCTCGGCACGAGAGGGTCCCGAGGGAGAGAGGTCCTGGACCTGGGGCCCTCCTCGGGGACAGCTCTTCGCCCAGAGCTGTTCCCAGCCATCCTGGAGTGTGGAGTCCTCACTTTGAATCCGCAGCGCACCGCGTCTCCGTCTCCTCCTCCTCATCTTCCTCCTCCCCCTCCTCCTCCTCCTCCTCCTCCTCCTCCTCCTCCTCTTCCTCCTCCTCCTCCTCCTCTTCCTCGTCCTCCTCCGCCTCCTCCTCCTCCTCCTTCTCCACCTCCTCCTCCCCCTCCTCCTCCCCCTCCTCCTCCTCCTCCTCCTCCTCCTGTCCTCCTTTCCTCTTCTTCTCTCCCCCTCCCTCATCCGTTCTCCCCTGTCCTGTCTCTGCCTTCCTCCGCATGCACATTTCGGCCCCTCAAACGTTTCGTGGCCCCACAGGGAGCTCCACCCAAGCCCTCGGGGGTCCCCCACCCATTGCGGCACACCTCTCACACGCTTCGTGGCCCCACAGGGAGCTCCACCGAAGCCCCCAGGTGGGGAAGGTCGCATGCGGTCCCCGACCCATTGCTGCACACTCCTCACATGTTTCGCAGCCACATAAGGAAATTCACCAAAACCCCCAAGAAAAGAGCTTCGCATGCGGTCCCCAACCTATTTCGGCACACTCCTCACACGTTTCGCGGCTCCACAGGGAGCTCCACCCAAGCCCTCATGGAGCGGAGTTTCGCATGTGGTTCCCCACCCATTTCAACACACCTTTCACACGTTTCGTGCCGTGGCCCCACAAGGAGCTCCACCGAAGCCCCCAGGAGGGGGGGTTCGCATGCGGTTCCCTACCAATTCCGAACACCCCTCACGTGTCGTGGCCCCACAGGGAGCTCCACCGAAGGCCCCGGTGGCACAGCTCGTATGCGTTCCCAGGCCCGCTTCGGCGCACCACTCACACGGTTCGTGGCCCCACAGGGAGCTCCACCGAAGGCCTCAGTGGCGGGGCCCGCATGGGCACCCGAGCCCATGTCGGCACACCTCTCACACGCTTCGTGGCCCCACAGGGATCTCCACGGAAGGCGCTGTTGACAAATGTTGTGCCCACACTGCACATGGCTCGCCAAGACCGTTGCTTGACAGTCCCGGGCAAGGCCCAGGAAGCCCGAAAACGGTGAACAACTTTTTTGCGTCGGCGGCTAGGCGGGGGTCGTCTGCACTGGCGAATGAAGCTAACTAAACGGGGGCACCGTTGTAGCGCATTGGCCACTGCGCAAGAGGGGGGGAAGGCGGAAAAGCGGACGGCCGTGGGGAGAACGGTGAAAAACACGAGGACCCGTTTCCCTCAGGACCCGCTTCCTTCATAGCCAGCTTCAGGCCAGGCGAAAGGAGGGGATAGCAAAGGGGGGGTAGCAAAGGGGGGGTAGCAAAGGGGATAGCAAAGGGGGGGGGGCAAAGAGGGGGTTTGAGAATCAGCTCACGTAGCTGATTTTCCCAGCGCCTCCCGGCGCCGGGAGGCGCCCATGTATCGAGGAATGGGCCCGGCGGCGGGGCCGAAACCAGCTGCATGCAGCAGATTTCGTACCCCCCCCTTTCCCTATCCCCCCCTTTCGTTCGGCCCGACAGCTTCCCTCGCCGCCCCGGCCCGAGCCCAGCACGGCCACCGCCGGCACGTCGCCCATCGCCAGCAGGCACGACGCTTGCTCCTCCGGCGCCGGCACGGCCGGAGAGCAGCTGCTGCCGGACGCCTGCGGGCGGGGCGGGAAGGGCAGAAGAGTCATAGGATGAGGTCGGGCCTGTCCCCCTACAGGGGGATTTTCGACGAAAACTAAAAAACCCAAAATAGTCAAAAAAAAATCCAAAACTAGTCTGGGGACTATTTCTTGACTGTTGTTTGACCTTTTGGGGGTATTTGGGGGGTATTTGTTATTTTTCGTCGACAATCCCCCTGGTAGGGGGACAGGCCCGTCTTAAGATTAGGTCGGGCATGTCCCCCTGCAGGCAGATGATGGCCGAAAGACAAAAATATGCAACAAAAGTTCGAACATAGTCCAGAAAAATGCTCAAAGCAGTCGTCCCCAGACTCATTGTTTGACTCTACTTGAACGTTCCTCCTGTAGAGAGACGTGCCCGACTCAATCAGAGGAGAAGCCAGCGCCTGGCCCTCGGCACGGAGTGCTGAAGGCTCGACTCGGGGGCCCCCAAACGGGGTGGTGACCACACCGTGCGGTGAGTCGGTGGGGATTCGGGGTCACCGCACGGTTTTGGGACTCGGGTCGTTCTCCGAGGACGTTTCGGGCGACTGGGGCATCCGAGGTCCCAAAACCGTGCATTGACGGACCGTGCGGTGAGATCTTTGCGGATTGCGAGGTCACCGCCGGGTCTGTCACCACACGGTTTTGGGACACCCAATCGACGGAGTGCCGAGGGCAGCAGTGAGAGGGGGCCGGTCTGCCTGGCTGGCGACGGGGCTTCCCGGGAACCCTCCCGCCCTCTGCGAGAGACCGCCCTCGGCTTCGGAGCAGGCTCGCGGAGCTTCTCAGAAGGCCAGGGGCCGCCTCCTCCTCCTCCTCCTCCTCCTCCTCCTCCTCCTCCTCCTCCTCCTCCTCCTCCTCCTCCCCTCCTCCTCCTCTCTCCTCTCCTCCTCATCCTCCTCCTCTCTCTCCTTCCTCCTCCTCCTCCTCCTCCTCCTCCTCCTCCTCCTCCTCCTCCTCCTCTTCGGAGCAGGCTCGGGGAGCAGGCTCGGGGAGCTTCTCAGAAGGCTTGGGGAGCTTCTCAGAGAGCCTTCCGAGAAGGCCCGACCCCGCTGCCTCCCCCCCTGGGCGACTCGGTTTTCGGGTCGCCTCCCGGCGGGTCTCCGGCGGCCGTCGGCTGACGATCTGGGCACCTCCGGAGCGCCCCCCGCGAGGCGCAGCGGGTGGAGCGGAACGCCTCCCGAGGCAAGCACGCCTGCAGGAGCCCTCGCACGCTGCGATAACCTCGAGCCTCGAAGAGCTCGAACACCTCTGCGTGCCCGGGGATGCATTAAACAGAGGTACCGCCACCGCTGCTCCCCGGGCCCCTCCCGGGCCGCGTGCTGACCAGCATTTCGCAGCGAAGCCAGCGGTGGCGACGAGGGCTTCCCGGGAGGCCCGAAAAGGGGGAAACGAGGGAAGGGGAGCGGCATTCGGGGGCGCCAGATCCATGGATTCGCGATCCATGGATCTGGCGCGGCGGCACCTCCCCAAGATGCGGCCGGCGCCGCCTCGCTCGGCGGCGGCAATCCGCGATGTCCCATGGAAACGGGACCCGTCGCTAACCCATGCCCCCGTGATCCATGCTTGCGATCGCCTGAGTAGCGAGCGGTTTGGGTACCTTGTCCTTCTCTGACGGCCTTCCCCCCCGGGGCGCGCCGCCGATGGTGCCGAAAGGGCGCCTCCGACAGAGGCGCGCCTCGCCGAGGGCCGCCGCGAGAGGCCGCCGCGCACACTCAGCAGCGGCCTCTCCCGTGATTTTTGTTTTTTCCCAACCATCCTGTGGTGTTGGGTCCTCGTTTTGAAGAGACGTCGCCCCGCGTTCCTTCCTCCTCCTTCCTCCTCCCCTTCATCCCCCCTCCATCATCATCATCCTCATCATCATCATCATCAGCATCATCATCACATCATCATCATCATCATCATCATCAGCATCATCATCATCATCAGCTCATCAGCATCAGCATCAGCACATCATCATCATCATCATCATCATCATCAGACTCATCATCCATCATCATTATCATCATTATTCATCATCATCATCATCATCATCATCACCATCATCATCATTATCATCATCATCGCCATCGCCATCACCATGATCATCATCGACATCATCGACGTCATCATCACCACCATCATCACCGTCATCGTCATCACCCAAGTCGGCACACCCCTCACACGTTTCGTGGCCCCATACGGAGCTCCACCGAAGGCCCCTGTGGCTGCGTTCGCACGCGCCCACCGCACCCAGTTCGGCACACCCCTCACACGTGTCGTGGCCCCACAGGGAGCTCCACCGAAGGCCCCAGTGGCTGCGTTCACATGCGCAGCGACGCCACCGCACCCAGGATTCGCCCACCCCTCACACGTGTTTCGTTGGCCCATAGGAAGCTCGGAAGCCTCACCCAAGGCCCCGTGGCTGCGTTCGCATGCGCCCACTCGCACCCGTTCGTCACACGCCCTCCACCGCTTCGTGGTCCCCATAGGGATGCTTCCACCGAAGCCTCAGTGCTTGCGGTTCGCATGCGCCCACCGCACCCATTTCGGCGCACCCCTCACACGTTTCGTGGCCCCACAAGGAGCTCCGCCGAAGGCCCCAGTGGCTGCGTTCACATGCGCCCACCGCACCGATTTCGGCACACCCCTCACACGTTTCGTGGCCCCATAAGGAGCCTCACCGAAGGCCCCCGTGGCTGCGTTCGCATGCACCCACCGCGCCCATTTCGGCACACCCCTCACACGTTTCGTGGCCCCACAGGGAGCTCCACCGAAGGCCCCAGTGCTGCCGTCCGCATGCGTCCCGCACACCCATTTCGGCACCCCCCTCACACGTTTCGTGGCCCCATAGGGAGCTCCACCGAAGGCCCCATGGCTGCCGTCCGCATGCGTCCCGCACACCCATTTCGGCACACCCCTCACCCGTTTCGTGGCCCCACAGGGAGCTCCACCGAAGGCCCCAGTGCTGCCGTCCGCATGCGTCCCGCACACCCATTTCGGCACACCCCTCACACGTTTCGTGGCCCCATAGGGAGCTCCACCGAAGGCCCCAGTGGCTGCGCCCGCATGCGGTTCCACCCCTCATTCTGGCATACCCCTCACACGCTTCGTGCCCCATAGGGAGCTCCACCGAAGGCCCCAGTGGCTGCGCTCGCATGCGGTTCCACCCCTCATTCTGGCACACCCCTCACACGTTTCGTGGCCCCATAGGGAGCTCCACCGAAGGCCCCAGCGGCTGCGCTCGCATGCGGTTCCACCCCCAATTTCGGCGCACCCCTCACACGTTTCGTCGCCCCATAGGCGGCGCCGCCCCATTTCGGCACACCCCTCACACGTTGCGTGGCCCCATAGGGAGCTCCACCTAAGGTCCCCGTGGCGCAGTGCGCATGGCGCCGCCGCCCCATTTTGGCACACCCCTCACGCGTTCCGTGGCCCCACAGGGAGCTCCATCTCAGGTCCAAGTGGCGCAACTCGCATGGCGCCGCCGCCTCATTTTGGCACACCCCTCACACGCTTCGTGGTCCCATAGGGAGGGAGGAGGAGGAGGAGGAGGAGGAGGAGGAGGAGGAGGCAAGGGAGGGCGAGGGGGCGATGGATCGGCGGCGAGCGAGGGGTGAAGTGAGAGGCGAAAGGCCTTTTTTTTCAGAAGGTTTGGAAGTCCCCCGGCCTTCCGAAGAGTTGTCTAAGCCTTCCGCGAAGACCGAAAAACTTCCCAGACGGCGCGATGTCGTTTGAGAAGTCCAGCCGCCTTCTGAGACGGTCTTTTCCTTCTCGTTTCCCCCCCTCGCTCGCCGCCGACGAGTGGGTACTGAAAACATGGGCGCTGCTCAAAACAGGGCCAACGATGTTCTCCCAAACTGACAGCGCCTAAAACAGGGAGTATCCACCACATCCAAGCCGACAGCGTCCAAAACCAGCAGCGTCCAAAGCAGGGCCGACGATGTGGTCCAAAACCAACCGCGTCATGGGCGCGCTGGCCTTGTCTGAAATCAACGATGTTGTCCTGTGGCGTGAGCAGCAACAAATGTTGTCAAAAATCGTAAGCGGCCGATGTTGGGCAGACGACTTTCCGTCTCAAATGAATAATGCCCGTAACGACACCGACAGCGAGTCATGTTCAATGTTGGCCAGCGTGGACCCCAAACAGTGAGATTACAAGATGTGTGGTGCAATTGACGTGATGTAATATGTGTGGTGCAATCGACGTAAGACAAATTAGGATAAGCCATATATGTGATGCAGTTTACGTTAAGCAATCGATGTAGTGTAGTCAGTGTGTGGTGCAATGTGGCGTATCTATGTTGAACCATCTACGTGATGCCATCTACGTCAAGCAATGCGGCGAAGGGGCGTCGACGGCGACCACAGGGCGGCGGACCCGACGCGCAGACCCAAACGACGGGCGGCGACGAAGCGGCGACAGGGCGGCGATGGCGGCCGCCTGACCGACTCCCAAGCCCAAACGGCGGGCGGCGACAATGCGGCGACGGGGCGGCGACGGCGGCTACGTAGCCGCCAGACCGGCATACAGGCCCACACGACGAGCGGCGACGAAGCGGCGACGGGGCGGCGACGGCGGCTATACATGACTACGTGCTCATCACAGACACCCCCAACCATGAAAGATCGACTTCTTATTTGTTTCGTATCCGCAAGGCGCGCCACGACCAAGGGAACATCGGGGCTTCGAGTGCCAGCTACACTAGCAGAAATGCAAGAGCACTCTCACGTCCCATGTCGCAACCACGCAGGAAAGCAAACGCCGACCACGTTCGTCCCGAGGGCAGCGGCACCGAACCGAAGAATTCTTCCACGGTCGATCGAATCATGACACATTTTTGTTTGGGGCGGCGCTCCCCATATCTGAAGTTCAGATTGCCCCTGTCTGGAATTCAGATTGCCCGTCTGAAACTCAGATTGCCTCACCCAGGGACTCGGGCGAGGGGTTCTGCCTCAGACTTCTGCACATAAATTATTCAAATTGGCCCGGTCCGAAATTCAGATTTGTCCGGTCTGACATTCAGACAACCGCTAAGTGCCAGCACTGTCTACGGAAAATGGACAAGAGCTGGCGTCGGTCTTCGTCACAATTCTTTCCGTACCCATCTCGATCGCAGTGGACGGGGAGCTTCGGTCCGGAACAGGACCACGCCGTGGCCGTCCGACTCCATGCGCGCTGCACGCCGCGATGGCTTTAGGTTGGGCATGTCCCCATACAGGCCGATTTTGGACGAAACATGAAAAATAGTCCAAACATACCCACGAGAAATTCAAAAATGGAGAGAAACAAAAAAAAAAAAAAAGGCCCCTGATTATTTCTGTTGACAATGGTTGAGCATCCCTCCTGTAGAGGGACATGCCCGACTTAACGGTGGCTTCCCAGATCTCCGAGCCGACATGTACAAGAGATCCGGGCAGGCTTCCTGAATCCCTGCCCCCGGGGGCCGGGGGTGGGCCCCAGGGCCATCGAGGTCCCCACGAGCGAGATCTGAGAGTGCATAGTGCATCCCGGTTCTCCCTCCTCCGCCCCCCCGTTCCTGAGTATCGTCTGACCGATCCCCACCCCCCGCGGCGTGGCCTGGGCCCCACTGGCCGATTTACCCCCTTTTTTGATGGGGATGCAGGTCGTTCCCTTCGGTTTTTTCCCATGCCTGCCACATTGGAGTATCATCCTGGCCGTGCTCAGGTCCTTCAACCCCCCGGCTGCGAAGGGAGCCATCCAGACTCACGAAGCTGCAGACCTGGCGTCCTCGAAGGCTCCGCTTGGCGGGACCGCATGCCTGCTGGTAAGGCGACAGCCAATGCCAAGACAAAAAAGGGAAAAATGAAAAATACGGTAAAGGAAAACAAAAAAAAACGTAAAAGTGGCCATCTCTGGACGGGCCAATACTTTGTACGGTGCCGCCCTCACCCTGCTTGCCATGTGCACCCTCCTCCTCCTCTCCTCCTCCTCCTCCTCCTCCTCCTCCTCCTCCTCCTCCTCCTCCTCCTCCCCCGCTCCTCCTGCACTCCTCCTCCTCCTCCTCCCTCCTCCTCCTCATCCCTCCTCCTCCTCCTCTTCCTCCTCCTCCTCCTCCTCCTCCTCCTCCCCTCCTTCCTCCTCCTCCTCCTCCGCCTCCTCCTCCTCCTCCTCCTCCTCCTCCTCCTCCCTCCTCCCGTCCGCCCTCCTCCCTCCCTCCCTCCTCCCTCCTCCCTCCTCCCTCCTACCCTCCTCCTCCTCCCCTCCTCCCCTCCTCTCCTCCCTCCTCCCTCCTCCCCTCATCCCTCTCCCTCCCCCTCCTCCCTCCTCCCCTCCTCCATCCTCCTCCCTCCCTCCTCCACCTCCTCCTTCTCGCCCCTGGCCCTGCGGCCCATCCCCTTTCCAGGGGTGGTCGGTGCCAAAGGCTGGGAGGGTGCCGAGCGGCGCGAGAGCCCAACATCCACTGGCTCGGGGGGCGGTTCACGCGGCTCCACAAAGGACCGTGGCCAGAGGCAGTGCTTGCAGAACTAGAAATGCGGCTTGCTGTCTTGCAGCTGCAGTGAAGGCACTTGGCCTTGCTGCTGATCCCATCACCAGATGAGCTGTCGTGGTACCACTAGCGCGTGCCCCCCGCAGGACTACGCACCCAAGGCTGGCGGCGATGAGAAAAAACAATCAAAACTAGACACAACAACTACAAACAAATACAATTATAAAAAAAAAAAAAAAAAAAAAAAAAAAAAAAAAAAAAAAAAAAAAAAAAAAAAAAAAAAAAAAAAAAAAAAAAAAAAAAAAAAAAAAAAACGGGCGGAGGACACGCCTCCAGTACAGTGTTCAGAGAGAAAGAGAGAAAGAGAGAGAGAGAGAGAGAGACGAGTTCTGAAGCAACGGTGGGGCCGCGGAATCCCCGATGCCAAAATACTCTGGTCCATGAGCCACCGCTACGTACTTGAGCCAAAAATGCGACGGACCCCCCCATTATCCTCATCCTCCCTCCCTCCCTCCCTCCCTCCCTCCCTCCCTCCCTCACCCTCCCTCCCCCTCCCTCCCTCCCTCCCTCCTCCCTCCTCCTCCTCCTCTCCGCTCCTCCTCCTCCTCCTCCCTCCTCATCCTCCTCCTCCTCCTCCTCCTTCCTCATCCTCCTCCTCCTGCCCTCCTCCTCCTCCTCTCCTCCTCCTCCTCCTCCCTCCTCCTCCTCCTCCTCCTCCTCCTCCTCCTCCTCCTCCTCCTCCTCCTACTCTCCTCCTCCTCCTCCTCCTCCTCCTCCTCCTCCTCCTCCTCCTCCTCCTCCTCCTCCTCCTCCTCCTCCGCCTCCTCCTCCTCCTCCTCCTCCTCCTCCTCCTCCTCCTCCTCCTCCTCCTCCTCCTCCTCCTCCTCCTCCTCCTCCTCCCCTCCTCCTCCTCCGGCCCAAAGCCGTCCCCCGAACCCTCCCCGGCCTTGAGGCACCCCGTCCTGCCCCCCGGCGCACTTCCGCCACGCCCGCGCGGCCCCGCAAGGGCCTCCACGGCGTCACGGGAGGGCCCCGCCGAAGCCTCCCGCGCGCTCTTCTCCTCTTCGGCGGCGACGAGCATGTCTCGGCGGCGCGAGCGGGAGGGATACAGGAAGATAAGTTCCCTCGTAGAGTAAAAGTGCCGGCGAGCTAATATCTGCAACGACCTCCACCCACCCTCGCATGCACAGCTGCTGATGGCTTCGTGCATCAGCAACTTTCAATCGAAGACTGCGCCTAAGATTTTGAAGTTGTCTCCCATAGGGGATGAATACGACAAAATGTGACCCCCGCCTCCTCGCGCTGTGAGAAAAGAAGCGACGGGAAGGCCCCCCCCTCTTGTTTCCCCAAACGGCGCCTGCACACGGGGGGCCCGACTTGTTTGCTGAGGACCCGGGCTCCTTCGTCGGGTCCGCGGCCTCGTTGCCGCCGTCGCCGCCCCGTCGCCACCTCGCCGCCGCCCGCCGTGCGGCTTCGGTTATCGGCTCCGCCGCCCTGTCGCCGCAGTCGCCGCCCCCCCGCCACCTCGTCGCCGCAACAAGGACTGCGCAACATAAACATGTAAATAATGTCGTGAATATGAAGAAAACACGAATTATTATTGAAGCTGCGCATGTCACTGTACCAGCACATATAACCTCGTATAAGACTACAACTGATATAACAACTACGAGTAGACGTGAAACGACACCTGTCAGTGTACATGCAACATGGCTGCGAACATCACTACACAAATAAATAGCAAGATAGCTAGAAACGTGGACATACTTAAAACTAGAGTTGCAACTACCAATACAATTACGAGCGCATACATTTATATATATATATATACACACAAGACTGCAGTGGCGCTTCGCGCCATGCACCTTGGTCCTTGAAGATTGCTATGCAGGCGGGAAAAGCAGGAAGGTCAAGCGGACACTTTAAAGAGAACTCCTTGATGCCTTTTCTGGCATCGCCGTTATAATAATGTTGTTCGTTATCCTTCATCCATGCTTATTTTTCCTCATTCTCGCCATACCCTGGGCATTCTCCCCATACTCCTCAGCTCTTTTTGCGGAGGCTCCTCCTTGGAGAGCCTCTGGGAGCCTCACCAAAGTTCTCAAGCTTTCTTAAAACCTTCTGGAGGCCTCCTGGGCGTGTTCTGGGGGCCTCTGGGGCTTCCTGTGGCCAACCTGCCTCTAACCGCGGTCTCCCTGAACGCCCCGGTCACGATTTGGAATGCTTCGGAGGGTGTCTTGGGGCCATCTCGGGCCGCCATGGGGCTCTCTTAGGGCCATTTTGGACTCCTGGTGTGCCGTTTTGGGCCTCTCTTGGACTGCCTGGAAGCCCTTTCGGATGGCTGTGGGGCGATTTTGGAGCCTCCCAGGCGACTTCGGACGCCCAGGACCGCTGTCTTGGAGCGTCGGGAAGCCGAAAAGAGGAGAACCCCAAATTCACCAAATACCAACATTAAATCAATGAATTTTGCCTCTTGGGGCCTTCTTGGGGGTGCTCTTGGAGGCCTCTTGGTACGTCTTGGAGCGATCTTTCGGGGTATGACGGCTTCTTGGAGCGCTCTTGTGCTGTCTCGGGGTTCTCCAGGACGTCTCCGATGACCCCCCTGATCGCCCCAGGTGTGCTGCGAAGGCTTGGCAAAACGCCCTGCGAGGCCCGGGGGGCCGCTTCGAGGCCCGTCCGAAGGGTCCCAAAGCCCCAGATCCCGGGAGTCCGGTTTGGGGAGGGGGGGGGTGTGACGGGTTGTCCCCCGGCCCGGGCTTGTAAAAATATAAGAAGAGGAATATGCATACACTGTATAAGCATAATCATGGGCATACCTATGATACGTGTGTGTGCGATTCATGTAAATACATATGCGTGTATGATAAAATGTGTGTACACTTATAAGCATGAAAAAAGGAAGAAATCGAACTCCGCCGGCCCCAGAAACGTGTGAGATATTCCCCCGTGCCGCTTGATCCCCACCGCGCCCTTCACGGCGATCTGTGTTCTTCGGAACCCCCACCCTGTAATTCCTCGCCACGATCTGAGCCTGTCCCTGTCCCAGGTTCCCCGACGAAGCATTCAGCCCTCGGGATTTGTGTTCTTGGGACTCCCCCCACCCTGGCCGCCTGACCCCCACCACGCCCCCACCACGCCTGACACCGCCATCCTGCTGGAGCCTCTGGGCATAGGTTCATAGGGGCCACCCACCCTGCAAAAACCGTGCTGGCACCCCCCGACCACGCCCCCACCACGCCCACACCACGCCTGACACCGCCAGCCTGCTGGAGCTTCTGGGCATAGGTTCATAGGGGCCGCCCACCCTGCAAAAACCTCGCGGCCCCCCCCACCACAACCCAACCACGCCCCCATCACGCCTGATACCGCCAGCCTCCTGGAACCCCTGGGCATAGGTTCGTAGGAGCCGCCCACCCTGCAAAAACCTCGCTGGCACCCCCCCACCACAACTCCACCACGCACCACGCCCCCATCACGCCTGACACCGCCGGCTGTCTGGAACCTCTGGGCACAGGTTCATAGGGGCCACCCACCGTCCAAAAACCTCGCTGGCACCCCCCACCCCCCCACCACCACACCACCACGCCCCCACCACGCCTGACACCGCCGGCCTCCTGGAGCCTCTGGGCATAGGTTCATAGGGGCCACCCACCGTGCAAAAACCTCGCCGGCACCCCCCCACCACAACCCCACCACGCCCCAACCACACCTGACTTCGCCAGCCCACGCCCCCACCACGCCTGACGCCGCCACCCTCTTGGCCACCAGCCTCCTGGAGCGTCTGGGCATACGTTTTAGGGGCCGCCCACCCTGGAAAAACCTCGCCAGCAACCCCCCTCCCACGCCCCCACCACGCCCCCCAGCGTCCTGGAGCCTCTGGGCATTTGTTCTCAGGGGCCACCCACCCTGCAAAAACTTGGCCGGCACCCCCCACCACAACCCCACCACGCCTGATACCGCCAGGCTCCCGGAACCTCTGGGCATAGGTTCTGAGAGCCTCCTTCTCAGAACCCAGCCCTCTCAAGAGGCCACACGTCTTCAAAGACCCAGCGACCTCAATTGGTTTCGCCTTCGCGCCTTTTTGTTCCCAGCGCGCTTTTGAGGCCTCCAGATGGCCCCACAACGGCCCAAGAGAGCTCCAGGAAGCCCGCAAAACGGCCCCGGGAGCGCCCGAGAGCACCCCATACGCCCCACGAGGCCCTGTTGCAGCTGTTGGGGGGGGGGACCTCAGCTGGACTACGCCGCTTCTTTGGTCGAGCTCCTTCACAGATGGCCCCGAGAGCACCCCCAAGGGCACCGAGGAGGCTTCGGGGTCGCCCCCCGCGGGGCCGAAGAGGCCCGGAGGCGGCCCCACGAGCGCCCGAGAGCGCCCCCAGATGCTTCCCGTTCGTCCTTTCCTCCTCCTCCTCCTCCTCCTCCTCCTCCTCCTCCTCCTCCTCCTCCTCCTCCTCCTCCTCCTCCTCCTCCTCCTCCTCCTGCTTCTCCTCCTCCTCCTCTTCCTCCTCTTCCTCCTCGTCCTCCTCTGATGGGCGTGTTTTCAACCACTACCACCATAAGTTGGAGGGGGGAAGGAGGAAGAGGACGAGGAGGAGGAGGACGAAGAAGAGGAGGAGGAGGAGGAAGAGGAGGAGGAGGAGGAGGAGGAGGAGGAGGACCCCCTCCCCCTCCAACTTAAGGTGGTGGTGGTGGTGGAAAACAGGCCCATCATCCTCGTCATCCCTACGTGACGGCTGCCCCCTCGCTGGCCCGTTGCATGCTCCACGGGTTCCCTAACTCATCAAGGCTAGTCGCTGGAGCATCGTTGCAAGATGGGCTCGTGGGGATACTTTTTTGATTCGCGGCCCGCAAGGAAAAGTCCAGAGGGCGGTGTGAACGACGCTGGGACACAACGCACGGGAAGGCAGATAATTAACGGCGCAGGACAAGTGCCGGCCAAGAAGCAGCTGAGCGTGTGCCAGCAGCGAAAGAAACGCTGAACATCTGCCAGCGACGAAGCCACTAACAGGGCTCGTGGGGATACGCGGAACGTCCTGATATCAGTGAGAGCCCGAGTGGCGTCGACTATGATACGAATGTACCCGGATTTCTATCGCGCCGACGGCGGAAGCCCCCTAAGCAACGGCGACGCGCAGAGCGGAGGAGAAGAGAGCGAGACAGACAAGGGCAAGGCACGCGAATCACTCGCCGAGGTGTGCGTTGCAAGAAGATTGAAAAGCGACGCCCCGCCCGAAGGAGCGCCGAAAACCAACGGAGCGCGGAAAACCAAAGAGGCGCCAAAAGCCGAAAGGTCGCCGACAACCGAACGGATGCCGAAAACCAAAGAAGCGCCGAAAACCAATAGAGCGCTGAAAACCAAGGGAGCGCTGGAAACCAAAAGAGCGCCAAAAACCAAAAGGCCACCGAAAACCGAAAGGGTGCAAAAACAAACGGCGCGCCGAAAACAAAAGGAACGCCGAAAATCGAGAGGGCACCGAAAACCGAAGGTGCGCCGAAAACCAAAGAGGCACCAAAAGCCAAAGGAGCGCCGAAAACCAAAGGAGAGCCGAAAACCAAAGAGGCGCCAAAAGCCGAAAGGTCGCCGACAACCGAAAGTATGCCGAACACCAAAGAAGCGCCGAAAACCAATAGAGCGCTGAAAACCAAGGGAGCGCCAAGAACCAGAAGAACACCCAAAACCAAAGAAGCGCCGAAAACCAAAAAAGGCTCCGAGAACCAGCAGGGCGCCGAAAACCAGAGCAGCGCCGAAAACCAAAAGAGCGCCGAAAACCAAAGAGAGCCGAAACCCAAAAGGGCGCCGAAAACCAAAGGGTCGTCGAACTTGAAAAGTACGCCAAAAACCAAAGGAGCGTCGAAAACCAATAGGGCGCCGGCAATCAAAGTGTCACCAAACACTAAAAGGGCACCGAAAACCAAAAGGGTGCCGAAAATCAAAGGGACGCCGAAAGCAAAAACGAGCACTGAAAACCAAAACGGCTCCGAAAACCAAAGGGACACCGAAGACAGAGGGCGCCGAAAACCACAAGGGCGCCGAGAACCAGAGAAGCGCTGAAAACCGAAAGGGCGCCGAAACCCACAGGGGCGCCGAAAACCAAAAGGACGACGAAAACCAAAAAAAGCGCCGACGCACAACAAGGGGCGCCGAAAACCATGGATGAGCGAGGGCTCCGAGAACCAAGAAGGACACCGAAAAAAAACACAAGGGCGCCGAGAACGAAAAAGAGGCACCCAGAACCAAAGGGACGCCGATCATCCCAGGGGCGCCGAAAACCAAAAGGAGCGCCGAAGACCAAAGGGACGCGGAAGACCAACGATGCGCCGAAAGTCAAAGGGTCGCCAAAAAACCAACGGCGCTCCGAAAAACCAAAAGGGCGCCGAAAACGAAAGGGGCGCCGAAAACAGCAGAAGCTCCGAAGACGGACAGGGCGCCGAAAACCAAAGGGGCGCCTCTTGGGGCCGAGGGCTCGAAATGTCCGTTCGGGGCTCCCGTCTGGATCCTCTGTGGAGTTGTCTTGGAGGCTTCTGGGGCCGTCTTGGAGAGGCCTCTTAGGTCGTCTTGGGCCCCTCTCGGGGCAGGCGAGAAAACCGAAATCTTTAATAACACCCGATAAATGAATGAATGTGGCCTCTTTGGAGGCCTCGTGGAGGCTCCTGGGAGGCCTCATGGAGGCCTCGTGGGGCGTCTTGGAGGCCGCATGGGCAGCGCCAATTCTGGGGCCAATCTGGGGCCGTCATGGACTGTTTTGGCGGTCCCGAAGCGCGTTTTCGTGCAGGCCGGGGCCGCCTTCGGGCGAACCTGAAGGGCCTCTGGCGCGCCGGCGGGGCCCCGGGCAGCCCAGTCCACACAGTTGTGGTCGGGATACCGGCCCGAGGGCCCCCGGACCAGCTTCCCCGTTACGTGTGTATCGATGCACATTATATATATATATATATATATACACACAAATACATATATATATATACATACATACATACATACATACATACATACATACATACATACATACATACATACATGCATACATACATACATACATACATACATACATACATACGTACATACATACGTACATACGTACATACGTACATACGTACATACGTACATACGTACATACATACATACATACATACATACATGCATACATACATGCATACATACATACATACATACATACATACATACATACATACATACATACATACATACATACATACATATACGTACATACACACATACATACATACATACATACATACATACATGCATGCATACGTACATACATACATACATACATACATGCATGCATGCATGCATACATGCATGCATGCATACATACATACATACATACATGCACATACATATACATATACATATACATATACATATACATATATATATATACATATATATACATATACATATACATGTGTATATATATGCATAGATATGCACATATATCTATAGAGAGAGAGATATCTATCTATATATATATATATTAAAAATGTACATTGCCAGAGAACGCAATATGAGGTCCACGCTTGCTATTGTTTCAGCCTCTGGGGGCCCTCACCGGTCCCTGCAGGGTCGTAAACAAACGGCTCGGGACGAAGAGCCGGTCCCGGGGAAGGGGCCCAGACCTCTGGGGATCCACGCTGCGGGAGACAAGCGCGGCGTCGGAGATCTGGGGAGGGAGGGGCAGCAGCAGGTGGAGCCGCCGCAGGGTCTGGAAGGCCCCAGAATCATGCTCCGACGTGGGTTCTGGCCTGAGCCCCAGACGGCGGACCCGCTGTCCCAAATCTTGGTCTGGGCACACGCAGCGTCACATCGAGGCCAGAATCCCGACGAGGGCTGCTGCGAATCGACCATCGGCAGTTGGACGACGGGCATGGCGGAGCGGCGGCAATGACAACGACGACGGCACCGACGACTGGCATGGATTGGATTGGCTTGGATCGGAGTTGACTGGATTCGATTGGATTCGAGTCGACTCGAAGGGGAATCGAATATTTTAAAGTGGATTCGATTGGATGCGCCACCTTGACAAGGCAATGCTATGGCTGGTGGCGACGGACTGTGCACTCGCAACAAAAACACGTCACCCATGAGAATGTGCACCCGCCTGTGTCCAACACCAGACGCATCACAAATCAGCGGTGCCGCACATTGCAGCTTCTTGCTCCCATGCCGTCCGTTCAGCCACTCCAATGCTCAGCACCCCAGGCAAGACGACGACGACGACGACGACGACGACGACGACGACGACGACGACGACGACGACGACGGTGGCAGCGACAGCTCCATGCAAGTAGGCAGATGAAAACCAGGAGAAAGAGAACAGCTAAGCTGGCGTACCCATGCCAACGCGCACCACCCAGCCCTTAGGCCCGCGCACCGCTTCGCCTGGCTGGGCCCCAGTGGCAAGACGTGAAAGTAGCAGGGAGCTGAGTCTGAGAAACAAGCTTGCACAGAGCCGTGGACTCCTGCCTCCTGGCGCTGCAGGATCAAAGATCGTTGGATCTGGTTAGTGCCCATCGGTCGCGTAGAACACTTGTCCTACGTGCAGCCAGGTAGCGCATGGGCAGCCGAGCGCTGGCAGTTGGCTCAGAGAGGCACAGTTGGAGCAGTGGAATACTGCGAACACTTTTCACGAGTATTCCAGGACCTACATGTCGACGATCGAGCGGATGACGGAATGGGGGAAGAGCGACCGAGTATGCATGCAAGTGGAGCATGCATGAACATGTCTACCCGTCCAAAACCGCGAACGACCTCATAGCAGTCACAGTGGTACGGACCAGGCTAGCAAGCTCCAGCCAGCCAGAAGCACACAGAAGCTGGCCCAGTCAACTCCGCCACGCCACAAGACCCTGACAAGCACCTGCCGTATGCTGGACGTTCCCGACCACGGTGCCTCGTTAGCCTGGTCCGCACTGACTTCGGTGAGCCCCGAGGTACCCACTCGGCTACAACTTCTGCCCGATTCCAGGGTGGTGCAGCCTCTTCGCACGGCTCCGTGGTGGAGCCTGGGACCGACGGTGCCGCACGCGAGGTGCCTCAAGCCCTGAGCGTGCCCCCCTCCTGGAGCTCGCCTCCGCAGCCGCCCTCTTCTTCTCGTCGCCTGCCTGGTGTGCAGCAAACGCGGCCGCGGCCCGACTACTTCTGAAGCGCTTCGTGGTCCGCTCACGTCGCTGCGACAAATCGAACGCGCCAGATGCTGCGCCGTAAACTGCGCCAGGCAACCCACAGTAGACCAACTCGTCCGTTGCCGCAGCGGGCGTACCACTGCGCCACATGTTGCGCCGTACATTGCGCAGTAGCTTGAGGCATAAGTTACACCTTGCACCCCGCAATCGACCACCCCGCAATCGACCACATCGACCGTTGCCTCTGTGAGTGTCTCATTGCGCCAACATTTGCACCATAGGCTGTGCTACGGGTTGCGCCACGCATCCCAGCAGTCCACTAGATCCCTCGCTGTCTCCGTGGGAGTACAATTGCACCGTATGCGCCGCAGCTTGCATAATTGGTTGCTATGGGTTGCATTATAGATACCGCCATTGATTGCGCCAGGTACTCCACATTCGAAAATACAGTCGCTTCTGCGCACCATTGCGACATGGAATGCACCATAGGTTGCGCAATAGGTTGTGCCTGGCGCCCACCAGTCGAAAAGCAGTCCGCTGCCTCATCGGGCGCACAATTGCGCCTAGGCTAGGTTGCGCAAGAAGTGGCTGCTGGCATCCCGCAACCCACCAAATCGTCTGTTGCGGGTGTCTTATTTTGCCATGGAAATCAACATACTCTGCGCCAACTTAGGCTGCGCCACAACTTGCACCAGACAAGCCGCAATTGAGCGAACAATCCGTTGCCTGATTGGATGTGCCATGTCTCCATAGAGTGCGACACCGGTTGCGCTCAAGGTTGCGAATGGGTTGCGCAATAGGTTGCGAAATAGATTGCGCAATAGGTTGTTCCAGGCACCCCGCAGTCGACCACATCGTTCGCTGCCTCACTGCGTGTACCATAGCTCCGTAGGTTGCGCCATAGGTTGCGCCTTGCACCCCGCAGTGGACTAAATCGACCGATACTTCAGTGAGCGTATCATTGCGCAACAGGTTGCGACATAGGCTAGGCTCAGGTTGCGCAATAGTTACGTTGCGCCAGGCACCTCGCGGTCCATCAAATCGGCCGTTGCCTCGGAGGGTGCACCATCAAATGTTCCACCGTGGTAGTGCGCACTGGTTTGCGCCATAGACTGCGTCAGGCAGCTCGGAATCGACCAATTGCGCCATGGGCTGCGGCGGGCCGCTCGCAGGAGTATCGTTTCACCGGTCCCTATCCCCAGCGGCGCGGCCTGGGCCCCACTGGCGCCGATTTCCCCCCCAGATGGGGATACAGGCAGTATCCTTCGGATTTCGAGGGGTGTGTCCCCGGAGGGGGGGGGGTAGTTTGGTGGCGGTCTCGAAGGGGATGGGGATGGGGATGGGCATTGGCTCAACGATATCGATCGCAGTTGGCCAAATCGTCCGCTGCCTAAAAGGGGTGCACCGCTGCGCCGTGGGCTGCGCAGCAGGTTGCGCCTGGCACCCCGCCGTTGCCCGAGCCGCCCGTTGCCACGGCGAGCGCGCCTGAGCCGCCGCCGTGCCACGGGGCGCGAAGGTCCCTCGAGGGTCCCCTGCGTCGGATGTCAGAATACGGCAGGTTCGCCTCTGAGGAGGCCCCAAGAGGCCCCCCCCCCAAGAGCCCCCAAGAGGCCAACCAAGAGACCCCCTGGAAGCCCCAAGAGGCCCCCACGAGGCTCCCAAGCGGCTCCCAAGAGCTTCCCGAGAGGCCCCCAAACTGCCCCCAACAGGCCCCCGAGAGCGCTCGTCGTCGTCGTCGTCGTCGTCATTCAGGGTCGGCGGCACCAGCCGTAAGGCCTTCGCAGTACGACAGGCTCGCGTCGTGTCGACCCCAAGCGTTGGCTCCTGACACCGCGGGGATCGTTCAGCCTTGACAGATCGGCCGTTCCAGTCACGCCGGATCGTGCCACGACGGGCCGAGTCTGGGCCACGGGCGGCGTCCAGCCTTAAAGACGCACGCGCTGTGGGGCCGCCGCCCGTCGACACGACGCGAGCCCGCCGTGCTCTTTACGCGGGGCCCTGGGCCCAGGAGTTTTCAGGCGCTCTTGGGCGCTCTTCGGCGCTCGTGGGCGCTCCTGGTCGGCTACACGCAAGAGTGACCCTGGGTAAGCCTCCTCCTCCTCCTCCTCCTCCTCCTCCTCCTCCTCCTCCCTCCTCCTCCTCCTCCTCCTCCTCCTCCTCCTCCTCCTCCTCCTCCTCCTCCTCCTCCTCCTCCTCCTCCTCCTCCTCCTCCTCCTCCTCCTCCCCTTTGGCGCGCGGCTTTTGGGGGGGCCGCGGGGGGACCAAAGCTGGGCGCGCAGGCCGCTGCTCCTGCGTCGTTTTCAGCCATCTGGGGACCCATCCGTGCCTGCACCAAAGGTCACTCAGGCGAAAGGTCACTCTTACGTCTAGTCGACCTGGGCGCTCCTGGTGCTTCCCGGGCGTGGTTGCGTGGCTTTGTCAGGAGGCAAAAATGGCCCCCCAAACCGGCCAACCGGGACTCCAAGACGGTCCAAAATGGCCCCGAGTTGCCAAAGGAGCGCTCCAAGATGCCCAGGATGGCCTGAAGACAACCCAAAAACAAGAGGGTCCTCAGAGGCAAAAACATGATGTTTTCCATTGGGTATTGAAGCATGTTCATGCCATCGCTTGTCCGTGCTTCCAACGCTACAAGGCTGCCCAGGAGGCCCCAAATATCGGCCCAAGGCCGCCCAAGAGGCCCCCAAGAGGCCACAACACGGCCCGAGATAGCCGCCAGACGGCCCACGAGGCCCCCAAGGCGGCACAAGAGGGGCCCCCAAGGAGGAGGAACTCGAACTAACACTTCGAGCCCTCCGCCCCGAGATGGCCCCCGAGACTGTCAGCAGCTCAAGAAGCCCCAGGGAGCCCCGAAGAGGCCCCCGAGAGGCCCCAAGACACCCCCAAACCGCCTCCAGGAGGCTTCCGAGAGGCCCCCCAGAAGATCCCCAACAGGCAGCCGAGAGGCCTCCGACCCACAACCCAGGCACGCTCGGAGCCGCCCCCTTGTTGCCTGCAAGAGGGGCTGCTGGCGTGCCAATCGTTTTGCTATTGTATCGAGCCCGTTCGGCCGATCTCGCCCGCCGCCCAGCAGGCACCCCCGAAAAAGTTCCCCCGCCCCAAGGATGCCTCCAAGACTGCCCCTACATCGGGCAAGATGGTACCAGGGCGGGCCAAGATTGCGCCGAGATGGCCCGGGACGGCCAAAGAGGGCCCCAAGAGGCCTCCAAGAGGCCCTCTTGGAGGGCCCGCGGAGTCCGAAATCGTGAACTTCGGTGGGTCTTGCAGGACTGCGGCATTTACTCCTTTGCGTGCTTCCGACGGCCCAAAGCAGCCCAAGAGATCTCCAAGGTGGCCCCAGGACGGCCCAGGAGGCCGCCGAGGCGCCCCAAGACGGCCCGAGCGGCCCCCGAAACGGCCAGAAGAGGGCCACAAGACGGCCGCAGAGGCCTCCAAGACGGCCCTACAGCGTTTGAAGAAGGCCCCGAGACCGCCCTGTGAGGCCCCGAAGACAGCCTCCGAAGGCTAAGCCCAAGAAGTCCGCAGGAAGCCCCCAGGAGGACCCAAGAGGCCCCCAAGAGGCACCCACTTCTTCCTCCCCATACTCCTCTTCTCTTATTGTTGCGCTCTCTCTCTCTCTCTCTCTCTCCCTCTCTCTCTCTCTATTGTCTCTCTCTCTCTCTCTCTCTCTTCCTCTCTCTCTCTCTCTCTCTCTCTCTCTATCTCTCTCTCTCTCTCTCTCTCTCTCTCTCTCTCTCTCTCTCTCTCTCTCATTTCCTCCCCCAAATGTTCCGCCAAGGGTTTTCACCACGGCTGAGATAAATATCGTAGGCCCCCCGCAGTCGCGGATAAGAGTGAGGGGGCGACGGGGACGTCTGCAGTCCGCGAGGGTCAGATGAAACCCGCCGCAAGAGCCTAACGTTTTAAAAATATACAACGAGCCCGCCGCAGGCGCCCGTTTTCGCTAAAGCAATGTGAATGGGTAGCGGGGTGGGTCGCGGGTGGTTCGCGGGTGGGTCCCGGGTGGGTCGCGAGGTGGGTCGCGGGTAGGTCGCGGGTGGGTCGCGGGTGGGTCGCGGGTTGGTCACGAATGGGTCGCGGGTGGATCGCGGGCGGGACGCGGGTTGGGTCGCGGGTGGGTCGCGGGTGAGTCGCGGGGTGGGTCGCGGGTGGGTCGCGGGAGGGTCGCGGGCGGGTCGCGGGCGGGGTCGCGACTAATTCTCGCGGGCGGGTCGCGGGGGGGACGACGCAACAAAACAAGCAGAATCCTCGCCGTGGATCCCCACTTCAGCCACGCACCCAAGGACAGTGAATGACCGTTCGGCCCCCTCACTCTGATACAACGAGCCCGCCGCAGGCGCCCGTCTTCGCTAAAGCACTGTGAGTGGGTCGCGGGGTGGCTCGCGGGTGGTCGCGGGTGGGTCACAGGTGGGTGGCGGGGTGGGTCGCGGGTGGATCGCGGGCGGGACGCGGTGTGGGTCGCGGGTGGGTCGCGGGTGAGTCGCGGGGTGGGTCGCGGATGAGTCGCGGGTGGGTCGCGGCGTGGGTCGCGGGCGGGGTCGCGGGTGGGTCGCGGGCGGGTCGCGGGGGGGACGACGCAACAAAACAAGCGTAATCCTCGCCGTTGATCCCCACTTCGGCCACGCACCCAGGGACAGTGAATGACCGTTCGGCCCCAATAGCTTGGCAAGACGTCGGCCAATTTCCAAAAGGCAGGGGGCGGCTGTGGTTCGGATTTTATTACAGAATCTCTGCAGTATTCGTTGCTGGGGGAACGAATGCTTTTAGAAACAATGATCATTACTCGCTTTGCCGTAAATGTCGCCCCAACCCAGCCCGCTCACACTCTCCAGCCCGGCTCATGGCATTGATGAACGTGCCAAGGGTGCCCCAGCAGGTGTCTCCGATGAGCCTGCGAAGGAAGCTCGGCGTGGCAGCAAACATCAAGATCGCAAGCGGCTCCCAAGGAACGGAAGGAAGCATTATTACAATGAATTCTCGCGCATGTAACTGCGAGTGCAAGGACATAGGAACAGCTGCAATAGAGCGGCAGCACTAACCGAATCTCCAGGGGTGGCTGCAACATCAAAACACATTACGAGAAGACCAGCAGCTACAACACCGCCGACACCACCAAAAACAACTCGGTCAAAAATAACAGCAACAGCGACGACGGCAGCGGCAACTGACGTAAACCTATGCGTCAACAACCCCGCTAAGCTCGCTTACGCTGCACAGCTGTAGAAACGCACAGACAACGAAGTGGACAACACTAACTATCAAATCGTGCCATGCTGGGGAGCTCCTTCTTGAAAACCTTTTCACAGCACAACCATTCGACGTCCTGCACACATGCTTGCGTGGCTTGCTGACCCGAGCACTTCGACTGGCTGTACGGCATTATGTAAGCCAGACTGCATGTACCCCACGCTCAACCTTGCACTTCCCTATGGCCACAACTAAGAAGCTCACTGAAGGCAGCGTACGGCAACTGCGCTGGCAGCTTACAACGGTCGTCGTAACCTTTGCAGGACGAAGGACCTGCAGAGAGCTATCGAAGAGGATATTTGGATGTAGTACATACAAGACGGGCCCAGTCTCTGGCCTCTGAGTCTTGGAGTCCTCTGGGTACATCTCGCGATAGACGTCGTGCAAGAGCACCTGGAAGAGAACCGCGGTGGTGCAGGAGGAGATGGCTGGGCTGAGGCCAGAGACAGCAGGACGCCGGGACGAGCGGAGTTCGACTCCTCGCCGTAGCCTCTCCAGCCCAGCCTCATCTCCTCCTCCTCCTCCTCCTCCTCCCCCTCCTCCTCCCCCTCCTCCTCCTCCTCCCCCTCCTCCTCCTCCTCCACCTCCTCCTCCTCCTCCTCCTCCTCCTCCTCCTCCTCCTCCTCCTCCAGCCTCATCTGGCAACGTGCACACCCCGTGCTCGCCCCATCCGGGGAGGCGCGGCGCCCGGCCGCGCCCTCTGTGCGAGCACGACGTCGTGTGCCGGGGGTCCGGCCCTCCCCGCTCTCCTTGGCCAGGGAGCCCGCGTCAGATGACGCCCGCTGTGCGAGCACCGCGAGAGTGAACATCTGGGCGCCTGGTTCTCTGACCCTCGATCTCGAGATGAGCTGTATCTGTCCATCAGGCTACCGCGAAGCCGATCTCACGATCCGTCGAATTCAAAGACACCGACAACCGCGGGACGCCCGAGGGGGGGCAACCACACAATCTCGACGGGACAACCACGGGACAACCTCGCTTCTCATCGGTTCCTTCTCCCCCACCTCTCCACACGCTCCCCTCATGGACCTCCTTTTTTCTCGCCTCTCATTTGCCCTCCTCTTTGTTCCTCTGGCGCTCCCCTGCTCGAGCTGCGAGGGCAAAAGCGGCGTTGATCATCTCATACTGGGTTGTTATCGTTGTTATCGTTGTTATCGTTGTGATCGTTGTGATCGTTGTGATCGTTGTCGTTGTTATCGTTGTTATCGTTGTTATCATTGATCGTTGTTATCGTTGTCGTTGAAGTCCTTGTCTCTTCCAGATTGGGTTCCTCTGTGCCGCGCGCAACTGCCTGCCTGTGTCCGGTGCTGCCTGTATCGCCTCGTCAGCGGCGATCACCTCCATCGCAGAGGCACAATCCTGCGCCTCGAGATGTATGGCATGAACAAGGAAAAGGGTCAGGGAAATAGCGTTCGCCACGTCGACCGCGAAAACGGCATAGGCAGCTGCGCCACTGCCCCCTCGCAGGCCCCCGCCTGAATAAATTTGCAGTGAAGCACCCTGGCACAGTAAGTCTGCAATAGAAGGCACAAATTGCTGGCGCGAACTGCATGTGCTATCGAGGGCGACGTTGCAAAGCAAATCGGCGGTCTTGTCACTCCCGCGGCCGCCAATCGTGCGTTGCCAAGTATCCGGCCTTATGTTCGAACTCCCATTCGAACAGCTGTCAGCTTCACCTCAATGTCATACCCCTCCTCTACCACGTTCTTCAATCCTGTCGCTAGACATGACAAAGGTAGTTACTCCTGTTGTCACTAGACGTCACATCCTCACTAGGTAGTCCATCACAGGCACTAGACATCACAGATTAGTACACTCCTAGTGTCACTAGACATCACAGAGGTAGCTCCATCCCGTCGCTAGACATCACGTCCCCTGTCTACAGATCGCAAATTTCCATCGCATATCACCACCACCCTGAGAGCCCCAAAACTGAATAGCACCTTCTGGTCGCAGTAGTTCTGCGCCAGGTACTCGACGAATCGCGCTGCGAACGCCTCGTCGCGAGGCGACCGCCAACCCTGCTTCACCGCAGGGGCCCCAGCGCCGCGCAGGAGATCCCTGATGAGGCAGCAAAGCGGTGAGAATCCCCCGCATTATAATAAGCAAAACAGAACGCAAGATGTGTAACAGGCGCTGTGAGACAAATGCGTTATGAAAGACAAGTATCGTAAATCATAATCGAATTGAGACATGTACGGCAAATGCACTGGAGGTCTGAGATTATCCGCTCTCCCCTCAAAAAGGTCCAGGGAGACGTTTCCAAGGAGATGCCAGAAACCCTGAAAGATGCCGTATAAGGAAAACTCCCAGCGGCTCCCTCGCCCTGGATGTTGTCCGGTCAATCAGAAGCGAAGGTCGCAGTGGGCGCCCTTCATTTAGCCGAAGGAAAGTATGTTGACGACCCTGGAGTACACACATAAGACAGAAAAACTTGCTACAAGAAACCGAGGGGCGGATGTACCCTCGACCTGTCCATTTCTGTCCCAAGATGCCTCATGTCTTCTGTGGGTTCCCCAGGCCACCTGCTGGCAGGGGCACCTGCTTGCAGGTCGGGTACTCTTCATGGGCTTGCTGTCGCTTACTCTACATAAAGTAAGGCCAGGGCCACCCCAGGCTGGAACCTAGACCGCCGTGCGTGGTCCCGGGAGTACAGTCGCATGGTTTGGGGCCCCAAGATCGCTCCCAGGTGCAACAGCCCAAGATGATCCCAAGACAAACCAAGATGACCAGGACACGGCCCAAATTGACTGAATCACAGCCCAAGAGGACTCAAAAACTGCCTGGGAGGCACCCAAGACGCCCTTTTCCTCCTCCTCCTCCTCCTCCTCCTCCTCCTCCCCTCCTCCTCCTCCTCCTCGAACCTCCTCCTCCTCCGCCTCCTCCCTTCCTCCTCCTCCTCCTGCCTCCTCCTCCTCCTCTCCTCCTCCTCCTCCTCCTCCTCCTCCTCACCTCCTCCTTCCCCTCCTCCTCCGCCTACTCCTCCTCCTCCTCCTCCTCCTCCTCCTCCTCCTCCTCCTCCTCCTCCTCATCCTCCTCCTCCTCCTCCTCATCCTCCTCCTCCTCCTCCTCCTCCTCCTCCTACCTGCCTCCTCCTCCTCCTCCTCCTCCTCTCCTCCTCCCTCCTCCTCCCTCCTCCTCCTTCCTCCTCCTCCGCCTCCTCCTCCTCCTCCTCCTCCTCCTCCTCCTCCTCCTCCTCCTCCTCTCCTCCTCCTCCCTCCTCCTCCTCCCTCCTCCTCTCTCGCTCCTCCTCCGCCTCCTCCTCCTCCTCCTCCTCTCCTCCTCCTTCCTCCTCCTCCTCCTCCTCCTACCTCCTCCTCCTCCTCCTCCTCCTCCTCCTCCTCCGTCCTCCTCCTCCTCCTCCTCATCCTCCTCACTCCTCCTCCTCCTCCTCCTCCTCCTCCTCCTCCGCCTCCTCCTCCTCACTCCTCCTCCTCCTAAAGACTCTCCTCTCCTCCTCCTCCTCCTTCCTCCTCCTCCTCTCCTCCTCCTCCTCCTCCTCCTCCTCCTCCTCCTCCTCCTCCTCCTCCTCCTCCTCCTCCTTCCTCCTCCTCCTCCTCCTCCTCCTCCTCTCCTCCTCCTCCTCCTCCTCCTGCCTCTCCTCTCTCCTCCTCCTCCTCCTCCTCCGCTCCTCCTCCTCCTCTCCTCCTCCTCCTCTCTCCTCCTCCTCCTCTCCTCCTCCTCCTCCTCCTCCTCCTCCTCCTCCTCCTCCTCCTCCTCCTCCCCGAGAGAGCTCCTGGCCCCCAGGATCATCTCCAAAAGGGCTCTGCGAGGGCCCCCGCTCGCGGAGGGCCGCGGCCAGGCCCAGGACGGCTCCGAAGTGGCTCCAGGTCGGCCTCGGGGAGCCTCACATGGCCCGGGAGCGCCACGGCACAGCCGAAGAGGGCTAAAACAGGGCTAGGATCGGGATAAATCGCTCCAGAGCGTTCCGGAGCGCTCTCAGAGCGTTCCGGAACGCTCTGGAGCGGCCGCGGCGCCCAATACATCCTCCAAACCCGCCGATTCTCAGAGATTTCGAGTTATCCCGATCCGATTTTGTCCCGATCTTCGCGTCGTTTTAAGGGCCCCGCGAAGGGCCCAGGAGAGCCCCCAAAGACCGGCAGAAAGCCCAGGAGGGCCCCCAGAAGAGCCCCAGCCCGCCCCGAGACAGCCAGAGCAGCCAGCAGAAGCCAACCGCGGCCAAGTGCATGTTGCACTGATGATCGGCCACACGTGCGCTGCGTTTCCACCACATGTGGCCGCACATACATACTCTAAAGGCACGGGGCAACGAAGACTTGTCGAATGCTTGATGATTACCTTTCCTCCGACTCATCATCACATTTCTCATCGTCACCCGCCTTTATTAATATGTCCTCCTTATGTCTCCTCCGCTTTCACAGCACACCTGGTCCTGCATGTTCCTCCTCGTTATCCTACTCCGTCTTCTCATCCATATGCATCCTCGCCTCGTCCATTCCAAGAGGTCACAATAGTGCGCTAAGAGGAACCTCGCATCGTAGAAAACAATATACGTCGAATTGCATTCGTTTGTTGTTTGACGCATTCTGGGATCTCCATCTGCTCGTCTGAAGTAGTTCCATGGCGTCTCCAGGAGACGCCATACATCATTTATAAAGGCTCCAACAAGACCACAAAGCACAATCGACACCCTGCGGTTCTGGATTATCATGGCACGGTCCATCTTCCGCGATGCGCCCTGGCATCCGACCTAGGTGGACCTCGATCGCGCGTGAAACGCGCGTGATGTTGCGTTCAAGCAAGAGTCACGTTTGACGAGGATGGGGCTGGATACTGCCGTCCTGCGAGGAACTACCGTCGCCAGCATGATGCACTTGGAGGAGCGACGATGGAATGCGCCTGCACACGCCCAGTGGTATCCCGCCGCATACGCCAGGGCGAACGCGCCACACCTTTTCCAATCCGCGGGCGCCAAGTCTTTCAAGACAGTCAGACGCCAGTCGAGCAAGCGGCGGGTGAACCAGGAAGTAACTGAGGCACCAAGGCGAAAGAGAACAGAGCGCGAGGGGGGAAAAGGGGGGAGCCCGCTCAGAGCACCAGCGCGGGGATGCCGCAGCAAATCTTGCAGGCCGCACACCAGGCAGCGAACCTGCTGTTGCAGGGCACGGGCCGGGGGTCCAACCGGGGGCTAGGCTCGAAAGAAGCGGTCGCGCAGGGAACACAAATTCGCTGAGCACCCCGCTCACCCGTAGCTGGGTTGCGTCTGCAACCACAGCGTTGGGCGCGCGCCGAAGGCTGCGCCGCGCCGAGAGGGCGCGGGCGCCACGAGGCCTCGGCGCTGGTCGCAGCACGACCCAGCAACGGGCGAGAAACGGGGCGGGCACGGGCGGGTCAAATCCCGAGCGCGGGGCGCGCGCCCCAGGCACACACAAACCTGTGGTACCTGCGCGCGGCCACGGCGGGCAGCGGCCGCGCGCGGGGGCGCGCGGGCCTGCCCACATCGCCTGCGGCGCGCCGCGGCGCGCGCGAGCCAAGCGGCGGCGCGGCGACTGCTCGCGCCTGCGTCCGCCGCGTGCGCCTGGGGCCAGCGAGTGTGTGCGATGGAACCAGGGGCCGAACTCGTTCCATACACACAAATTCGCTGAGCACCCCGCTCACCCGTAGCTGGGTTGCGTCTGCAACCACAGCGTTGGGCGCGCGCCGAAGCCTGCGCCGCGCCGAGAGGGCGCGGGCGCCACGAGGCCTCGGCGCCGGTCGCAGCACGACCCAATGCAACGACGCGACCAGCGCCGTGCGCCGCTCACCCGTTGCGCACGCGGAGTGCGGCGCTCGGGCGCGCGCCGGGATGTCGCAGCCACACTAGGTGTCTGAGCTGCTGTCAGAGCTGTCCGAGCAGTCGGACGCGGCGTTGCGCGCGGCCGCTACCCTCTCACTTTCGACCCGGACGCGGTCGATGTAAGCCAGGTAGGCGTTCGACGCCCAGCCTCCAACGTTCCTTCGTTACTGCGGTCGGTGCACCCGCGCGATCGATGTCATCGGCGCGCCCCCTTGTGTGCGCGAGAGGGGCGGAGGGATGTGCGCGCCGAGCCGCGCGGGCGGTCGCGGGTCGCGACCTTCGTACGTCGCGGGTGCCGAATAGGTTGGCACTGTCCACGCCTATCCTGGACAATAGGGACCGAAGGATACGCCGGGCATCCGACCCTGAGAACTGCGCGAACGGCTGAGCGCCTACTGCTGTGCCGCGCAGCAACGGAGGCAGCGCGTGCACGGCGCACGTCGCGGCGCGCGCGCGGCACCAACACCTCCGGCGGAGTATCGACGCGCACGGCTTGTTCTTCCGCCTTGGCAACCAGAGGAGTGCCTCGTCTGCCGATATGGCCAACTCCGCCTAGCGCGCTCGGCGCGTGCGCGGGTGCCCCAGCGCGCGCGCTTCCAGAAGGCGCGGCCCGCCGTGCGGCCGCGCGACAGAGTGTTGCCGCACCACCGGATGGGTAAACACTCGGATGGTAGGCGAAGCAGGAATATGGTGGATGCCACCTGCGCGACCGCTGGGTTGACTGGCGAATGCCGCGCGGCGGCCCCGCCTTTTCTTCTTCGCTGCGACCACGTAGGCCAAGTAATTGTGCAAGCATAGCGTCACGAACGAAGCGCGGTTCGCGTGGCGTGTGTCCGCCGCGCCGCACAGTGGCTGCCTTGGCCTTCCTGGGCGCGCGACGCGCGGCCTCGCGCGCGCGGTGGCGCGGGGGGCCGACAACGGAGCAGCCGTCTGTTGCCGAAGGCGCTCGTGTCCAGACGTAGCACTTCGCACGCCGTCTGCACGTGCCCGCAATAATTCCGGAACGTGCCCGCGCAAGAGAAAGTGCCCGACCAGCACAACTGATCGTCCTGGGCGCACGCCGCAGATTATAGGAGTCTGCGGGCCGCGCAGGAGGGGTTGCGCGGATTGGTCGCGCCTCGCTGGGAGGCAGCGCGAGATGCCGGTCACGTCCGAGTACGTCTATCGCGAAATTGAGCCAGCACCGCACACCGCTCTTCAAAGATTGGCGGGTGGATGGTATAGTGCTGACCAGGACCTCCAATCGGGCCCGTTCCGCCCATTCGCGCCGCTCCCCTTGCGAGGGCATGGAGCACGCAAGCCACTGCGCGTTGCGACGCGGCCCCCCTGGCACGGGTGGCGAGGGCGGTCCTGGCCGCGCCATCGCCCTTTCGAATGCAGGCGCTATCGCTGTCAGGCGCTCTGGAGAACGGCTCCGCGCATCCCCGCTACGCGCGGAAGAGGGTCCCGCGGTGCACAGGCGATCGAGCTCCGACAGGAGGGGTGCTGGCAGGACATGCAGGTCC